TAATCGTCATAAGACTTATGAATTGAGTTACCGAAGCGAAATTTTATCTATGTTGGACAATAAATAATCATCCCAATAATAATGTTGATTCCACCCGAGCCAAAAATACCTACTGAATCCAAACAAAAATAATATTTTATCTCATTTTTCTTTTGCCATTATTATAAATCAGTACGAAACATTATCTCATAGCGAATTATTTCCAAACAAATATATATTTACGAATGAACTACTTTATGATCTATATCACACGCTACGAGTAGGAAGTGATTGAAGATTTTACAAATGATGATGAATAAGAAACAAATGAAGCTAGAAAAATAGGAAATAAAGAAGTTTTAAGACCCATTAATTATAATGTATTTTTCTTCGTTTTGAATCACGTTATATATATCTTCAGATTGTTGGTAGCAGAAACTATATAATTATAACATTTGAGTTACATCAAAATTTATTCAATGATTATGAGAAGATTGAAGCTGAAAACACAGCAATGGGACTCAGCCATGGGAGCCATGGCAGTTGAGGAACATTCCAGAACAAAGTGAAGAAATGAAATGAAGAGAAGCTCAAAATCTATCTATTAATTCTGAGAAGAGTATATATATACATGTGTATGCACAGCTGGCAAGTAACAAACTCTAACCACCAACTAACTCCAGCTAACTAACTTGAACCGGAAATGAAACAACTAACTAACTTGAACCGGAAAGGAAAATAATGAAAATAGTTTGATAAATATCTCAATACCCCCCCCCCCCCCCTCAAGTTGGAGGTGGTGAAAACACTGCCAACTTGGCTAAGACACCTGAATGTTTTATGCCTGTCAAAGCTTTGGTAAGAATATCTGCGAGTTGTTGATCAGTGGTTATGTGGTGTAATGAGATGAGGCCCTCTTGTAACTGTTTCCTCACAAAGTGACAGTCTACTTCGATATGTTTAGTGCGTTCGTGGAATACTGGATTTCTTGCTATGTGCAGGGCTGACAGGCTATCACAAAATACTGAAATTGGATGTATAGATGGAACCTTCAATTCAGCTAGAAGTCTGCTTAGCCATACTAACTCACCAACCAATTTTCTAAGAGACCTATATTCTGCCTCTGCAGAAGAGAGGGAAACAACCTCTTGCTTTTGGACTTTCAGCTGAGTGGGCTGTTTCCCAATAAGACAATGTACCCGCTTACAGATCTTCTTGTATCCGGACAAGAGGTCCTATCTGAGTCACAAAAGCCCCTAGCAGTCCAGTCTTCAGACTTGGACATGAGAATACCTAAAGTGGGATCACCTTTGAGATATCTCAATAAATGGTAGGCAGCCTTCAAGTGAGGTTCTCTAGGATCTTGCATGAATTGGCTCAAATGTTGAACTCCAAAAGCTATGTTCAACCTAGTATTGGTAAGGAAGTTCAATTTCCCTATTAACTTCCTATAAAATGTTGGATCATTTAGAGGCTTGCCCTCCTTGGCTTTAAGTTTTTCATTAGGATCAAGTGGGGAGCTGAGGGCAGTGTAATCCAAGCAATTGTATTCTTTCAACAGATCCAGAATAAATTTCCTTTGGGATCACACCATCAGGCTTATACAACACTTCTAGACCCAAGAAATAGTGCAGGAGACCTAGGTCCTTTATCTTGAACTTGTCGTGAAGAAAAGTTTTCAACTGTAGTATTTCCTTCATGTCCGTGCTTGTGACCAAGATGTCATCTACATAGACTACAACATAGACCACTGAATATCCATGCTGTTTGTGGAACAATGAATAGTCATTTAGTGAATGGTTGAAGCCTCTAGAGCACAGTGCTTCAGTTAATTTTTCATACCACTGTCTACTGGCTTGTTTGAGCCCATAGAAAGACTTATTCAGCTTGCAAACCAAAGACTTATCTTCCACCATGAGACCTGGTGGTAACTGCATATACACATCTTCATGTAAATCCCCATGGAGGAAAGCATTATTGACATCCAACTGGAACATTGGCCAACTGTGCTTCACTGCTACTGCAATTAAGGTTCTCACTGTAGTCATTTTAACCACTGGAGAAAATGTTTCTGTGAAATCCACACCTTCCTGTTGGGTATAGCCTTTCACAACAAGTCTGGCCTTATACCTCTCTATTGTGCTATCACACATATATTTTACCTTGTAGACCCATCTACAACCTATTGCCTTTTTATCAGATGGGAGAGGAACTAAGTTCCAGGTATCATTAGCATAAAGAGCTTCAAATTCTTGGATCATAGCTGCCTGCCAAGCAGGACTGACAGCAACTTCCTCAAAAGAAGATAGCTCACTAACATTGCAAACACTATTGACCAATGCCTGACTACTAGGATTCATTGATTCATGGGCTATGTGGTGACAGTTAGACAACAAGGAGTTGAGAGAAAAAGAGCTTTCATTAGAGTTGCTGATTTTGTGGACATAATCATTTAGGTAGGTAGGTGCTTTGTGTTCCCTTTGTGACCTTCTCAAGGATGTGGAAGGATGATGTACTAGTGAAGGGTCAATGGATGGAGGTGGATGTGATGTAGATGGTGCAGAATTGTCAGGAAAGGAAGTTGGAACTGGGGAAGTAAAAGGTGAAAGTGGTGAGGAAAGTGGAGCAGACACTGGATCATTTGAACTAGGTGAGTTCATGTGTGTGTTATCAAAAGGAGGATCATTGGTCTGCATCTCTGCAACATCATTGTGGCCAACAGGTTCATCAGATGAAGTGATATCAAAAACTGTGGGAAGTGACTCAGATTTGGACTTGGAATAGATGTCAAAAGGAAAAATAGACTCATGAAAAACAAGATCTCTGGTTATGTGTATTTTCCTAGTTGACAGGTTCAGAACTTTATAGACTTTGACACCAAAAGGGTATCCTAGAAAAACATGTGGAACAGACCTTGGCTCAAACTTGTTTAGGTGCACCTTGGGTGTTGTGGGGAAACACAAACAGCCAAAACTTCTCAACTGTGTGTAATCTGGTTGTCTTCCATGCAGCACTTCAAAAGGAGATTTGTTTTGGAGATATGTGGTGGGCAGTCTATTTACAATATGAGTTGCTATTAAGACACATTCCCCCCAATACTTCAAAGGCAATTTGGACTGGAAAAGCAAGGCTCTGGCTGTTTCAAGAAGGTACCTATGTTTCATTTCCACCACTCCATTTTGCTGTGGTGTGTAGGGACAGGTTCTTTGGTGTATAATGCCCTTGGACTGGAAGAAGATATTGGTTTCTTGGTTATTGAATTTTAATCCATTATCAGATCTAATGGACTGGACTTTGGTTTTGAATTGATTTTCAACAAGTGAAATGAAGGCTTTGATTGCCTGCAGTGCATTGCTCTTGCAAACTAGTAGTTGAGTCCAAGTAGTTCTACTAAAATCATCCACTATGGTAATGAAGTATCTGTATTTGTCATGAGTATGTTCATGATAGGGTCCCCATAGGTCCACATGGAGCAATTCAAAGATTTTGGTAGGGTACTAGCTTTCTGAGGAAAGGGAAGTCTTGTTTGTCTGGCCATGGGACAAATTGTACACATAAATGGTTGTTTTTGGGAAAAATCAGCAGGTATGCTAGAAATGTGTCTCATTTTTGTAAATGGCACATGTCCAAGTCTATTATGCCACAGTATATCTGCACTATTGGAGAAGCATGATGCAAATTCAGACAATCCATCATTCAAAGAAGAAATAAAAGAAGTAGGAGTGTTTTTCATTTGCTTCAAAGATGGCTTATATACAGATGGAGACAGATAACTCTGAGTATTATTCAAGGAAGGACTATTTACATCACATGAATGATTGAAGTTCACAGAAGTATTATTGTTCCTTAGGCATTTGGAGCAGAGCAGATACAAGCCATTCCTCACTTTACCAATCTCCAGAGGCCTCTTCACTGAAGGGGCCTGCAGAAGACAAGTACTGTCAGTGAATGATGCCATTCCTCTGAGATGTTTGGTTAACCAATAAACAGAAACCAGGTTAAACTTGAAAGAGGGAACAAGGAGAACTCTTTGCAATATTTATCTTAGATGTAAGGACAACATCACCAATTTCAGACACTTTAACTTTATATCCATTGGGTAGGACTACTAGAAGAGGGTAAGGTAGAAATTGAATGTTCGAAAATAGGGACTTATCAAAGGTCATGTGATTGGAAACCCCTGAATCCAGTATCCATGTATCAGTCTTAGACTCAAAGCATTTGCAAGCAAGTTTACCAAAGTCAATAGAGGAGGTGCATACTATCATACCTGCAAAGTTGGCAGCATTGACATTGGATGAATAAGAGCTTCCTGCTACTTTCCATGCATCTCCATTCCTCTCATGAAATTGCTGAAGCATACTTATCAGCTGCTCATATTGCTCTTGAGTAAGATTCACATTTCTGCCATCATCTTGTGTCTTGTTTTCAGTTTCCTCTCCAGTAGTGATCTCATCAGCCATTCCCTGCACATTTGCAACTACTCTTTTTCCTCTGTTGTTGTATCTAGGACCTTGACCTTGATCATAATTGCGGTTATTAGAGAATTCTCTAGGAGCAAGGTTCTGAGTAGAATAATTCTGTGGGTAACCATGTAACTTTTAACACCTTTCCTTACTGTGTCCTGGTCTTTTACAATAGTCACATATGAGTCTCCCCCTAGAAGTCCCACGATTATTATCAGTTTGAAAATTTGTTCTAAAAGAATTCTGCCCTGAGGTCCCTACATTCAGTGAAGCTGAGTCTACAATTAAGTGGTTGTTAGGTTTGATCTCTCTTTGCTTTTCATCTTGAACTAATAGTGAAAAAGCTTGTGCTGGATTAGGCAATGGATTCATCATAAGTATACTTCCTCGAACCACTGTGTATACTTCATTCAATCCCATAAGAAATTGTATTAGCCTCCTATCTTGTTCAGTCTTATATATGCTCTCCTTTGCTCCACAATTACAAACACAATTGCACTGATTCCTTTTGCTCAAAGTAGCAAGTTCTTCCCAGAGTTTCTTCAATTTAGTGTATTATGCAGTGATGTCTCGGTTTCCTTGGGAGAGATCATTAATTTCTTTCTGAATTTGATACAACCTAGCTCCATTAGTTTGCTCATATCGATCCTCCAATTCCTTCCAAAGTTCAACAGTATCGCTTGCATATTCCACACTGTCTGCAATTTTCTTAGAGAGTGAGTTTAGAATCCAAGACGTTACCATATTATCACAACGTTCCCACTGTCGAAATTGAGGTGATGAAGTATCAGGTTGTTTACACTCTCCGCTTATGAAGCCTAGCTTATTTTTCACAGACAAACCTCTCAATACACTTCTCCTCCAAGATCTATAACCTATCCCATCGAATGCAGTTGAAACCAGCATAGCTCCTGGGTTGTCAGATGGATGAAGATACAGAGGATCACTAGGATCAAGTCCTGTGTCCGTCGGAGTGACAGTTGCAGCAGTCTCGACACCGGTCGAGTTGCCTTGATCGGTTACAGCCATGACGAAAAACGATTGGGGGAGAAAATTGGAGGAATTTCAACTTTCAGCAACTAGAGAACTCGACAACGAGCAGATTAGATGAGAAATCTAGATCAGATCTAAGAAACAACGAAAACATAGTGAAATCAAAAAAGGAACAGATAAGAAGAGATTACAGTGATGAGATCTATCCGCGAGATCAACCTCGCTCTGATACCATGAGAAGATTGAAGTTGAAAACACAGCAATGGGACTCAGCCATGGGAGCCATGGCAGTTGAGGAACATTCCAAAACAAAGTGAAGAAATGAAAAGAAGAGAAGCTCAAAATCTATCTATTAATTCTGAGAAGAGTATATATATACATGTGCATGCACAACTGGCAAGTAACAAACTCTAACCACCAACTAACTCCACTAACTAACTTGAACCGGAAATGAAACAACTAACTAACTTGAACCGGAAAGGAAAATGATGAAAATAGTTTGATAAATATCTCAATAGATTATATGATTTATTAAATTTAATATATAGTTTTATTACTGGGTACATACATTAAAAAAAAGATGATAACTATCCTTTTGTTAAAATGTACGATCAAATATGCTCAAATAAATTAAATCTTACTTTAATATGATTTATATTTTTTAATAATATTCGTGTATCGCTCCGATACTAATACTAATTATTATTAACACCAAAAGTGTAAATTCATCTTTCATGACTTTATGTTGGAGTACTAAATATATAATAAAGATATAATTTGTTTACATTAGACCATGATCGTGATTTTGGTGAAGTTGGTGTATAAGTAAAGTTGAAATCTTACGACATATTTTACGATGCTTGATAAACTTCATCAGAAAGTGCCGGAGATGAGTTATCCATTTTTCTTTTTAATTATTTTCTCCTTATTCTTTTTTCATCATTTTCTCTTTAGGTATGAGATATCAGTTAAAATACGTTTAATTAAACACAAACATTAACTAAATATTTTAGGAATATATATATTCCCTTATATTTTTGATAGCAATGCCAATCTTTTTTAATTAAACTTAGAGGATACTTGGATTGGCTTAAAAGCTGGTCAAACTAGCTTAAAAGCACTTTTGAGCTTATTTGCGTGTTTGGATAAATCATAAAGTGCTTTTAAGCCAAATAAGCTAAAATACCCAAAACAAGATAAAAGCAATAAGTTGGTCCACCCTAATTTATTACTTTTTGGCTTACAAGCTCCTTATGTTTGACCAATTAATTTACCCTATTATCCCTTTACTTTTTCTAAACCCAAAAATATCCTTCCCTTACTAATTAAATCCATGTGCAATCGCTGTTTTCAATCTTTCTGCCGTCATATTCCAAAATTTATCAATTTCGTTGATGTTTAACCGTAAAGCTAACACTAGCTTTATAAATAAAATGTTTGACAGATTCTAATATTTTGTAAATAGTGTTCTTTTAGTTTTTTTTTTGGTTCCATTATATTTAAAAAAGAATTGCTGTTGAATCCCTCCTTTTTTAATTGGTGAAACTATATTTTTAAATCAAAATCTATCAATGAGTATACATGTCGCCCTAAAATTTAAAGTTATGAGCGAAAAATCATTTTTTTTGGTCAAATAATTAATTATTGCATTTTATTTAAATAAATAATTTATATTTAGGTAATCAATTTAAATTAAAAATGAACTATATTATAAATTATTTGTATATGCATCAATTTAGAATAAAATATTATAATAATTATCTTTTTATAGTGTTAACAGCTTTTAGGATATTTCAATCATCTTAACAGAAATAAGTGCTTACCAGCACTTATTTGTCAAACACTTCAACAGCTTTTTTTCGATTTTAGCATTTTTATAAAAATACGTAACTACTTATTTATAAAACAAGCTCTAGCACTTATAAAGTGCTTCAAAGCACAAGTGCTTAAATATCACTTTTTTTAAGCCAATCCGAACGATCTATTAATCTTCAACTTTTCAAAAAAATCACATGTCAATTTTTTCTTTATTTGGGAATAATATCCGAACAACAAAGATCTTCCTAACTAAGCAACACATTGACACGTGTCATCGTCGGACTCCTCTCTTATCACGAAACCTACACGCAATCGTTCTCTTCGTTCCTAAAGAATTGGGTCACATATTTTCTTCATCGAATTCGAAAGAGAGAGATAATCACGAAAATCATGGGTGGCGGAGCGTTCAGAGCAGCGGCGAAAGTAGCCGGAGTCACCGTCGCGAATAGCGGCTTCCGCTCTGTAACGGCGGAGCATCCAGTTTATACAGCCGCACGTAACGTCGTTCGTCCGGTGTCGGTGTCCGCGATAACATCATCATCGGAAGATGTCAAGTCCGGCGTGGTTCATGGTGGCTCAGTCGATGTGTCTCCGGTGCAAAAGATGTCGGAGTTTGATGACTGGGAGATGACCGGCGGCGAGGAGGAGATGATCGTGAAGTCTGGTGAGCCGCTGCCAAGAGTCGTATTCGGTGGAGCGCCTTCTCTCCAGGAAGCTACAGAGGCTACTTCTGATCTCAAAGACGCTCTCGAAAAGTACGCTTTAACTATCTAATTTCTCCTTCACGAGAATTTTTTACTTTTACTGTACTAAATTTAGTTGCTATTGTTTTTCTTTCAATACAATGGGATGCTTTATGATAAATGTTCAATTGCAAAGTATGAGTGAATACTCCGTTGATTGCAGTGGCGGAGGCAGGAACTCCACGAAGGGGGTTCAAAAAAAAATTGTAGCTAGTAGGAATTGAACCTATGACCTTAGAAAGGTTTTGAACACCTTTGACCACTAAGCTACACTTTTGGGTTGTGTTAAGGGGGTTCAAAACTTAATATATAGAGGTAAAAAACAGATTTTGCCTTATATATACAGTGTAATTTTTCGGCGAGCCTCCCTAAATCCGCCCCTGGTTGATTGGTTAGATTGAGAACACTCTTTAAAGATCGTGCTATTTAAACCTTTTGTTCAATCTGTTTTTACTCGGTAGAATAAAACGGGACATGTTGTCTATGTTGCTTCACTTCTGTGTAGCATGGAATTATCCCAATACGAAGTAAAATTTGAAAGGAGGCACCTTTTAGTCTGTGGAACTGACTGCAAATAAGCTCTGCAGGGTTGTGTTTACTATTCATATTGACACGCGATAGTAAAAGGAGGGAAGTTAAGTAAGGCATTTATGCTGTTAAGGCCTTTGGATTAACCCCTCAAAAAAGGTTTAAAACGTACCCAAACCTGGTGTTTAGACCAAAATCATACTGTTCTACCGTGGCTACTTCATAAATTAAGGTGATAAGGTGTCTAATTAACTATGATTTAGTGATAAGATTGTAGGTTAAAACATGTATCATGTATTCATTTGAGTAGTGTAAATATCCAGAGGGGGATGCATTGTGTTACCAGCTTCATGTGAGACCATTATTTTTGTCGTTGAGCACATGTGTAATAATTCACTAAAATTTGCATTAAATAGTGTATATGAACCCATAATTTTGAAAATACAGTGCGCTCAATACTAAAAACCTTAAACGTTGAATCTAGGAGCCTAAATTTTGAATCTGCCTCTATAAACATCAGGTGCGGAAAGTTTTTACCGAAAAAAAGAAAGGGCCTTTTCAACTTATTTCGTGTCATGAGCTGCACATTCTCGTAAGTACTATAGTTGTGTGACACTTTGCGAGAGTTCAGATGCTCTCGTTTCTGTGACTGTGTTAGTGAAGTGACATACCTTAGTATTGGACCTGTAAAGGATGAAGGGAAAGGAGAAGGAAAAAGAACTTCATGCTGAATTCCTTGTATGGAATACAAAAATGAAAATAGCTTGTCAATTAGGCTCTCGCGCTGCTGATAATTTTTGTACCATTAATCTTTTCATCTGCTGATAATTTTGGTACCATTAATCTTTTCATACTACTATTAACCATGAACCTTTGGCCACATCCAAAGATTTATGGCCTGGGATTTGGTGGAGATATTGTACTTGGTTGTGATATTGACTTCTTAATGTCACTCTGCCGTTATATTTGTGCAAAAGATATTTTTCTGATCTGATAGTTATTGCGATCAACTACTAACATAGTGGTAATTCAAAATGCTTCTTAAATTTACAGGGTATATTTGTCCCAACCTGCTAGTGATTATGGAGGTTCTTGTATTTCCGGCTCAAGCTTATTGCCCTTCTCAAAAGCCTGTGTTGTCAGCGAGACTGTAGTTACTCCGTCCGCGCCGAAACATGCTATACAGGCATTTAGGTTTCTAAGTGAAACTCCTGCAGCTCAGGTTTTCTGCTTTGTCATTTATGTTTACAAATTTTGAGTTTTCCTATCCTATCTACCACTATATGTTCCTGACAGGGACACTTGATAAGTTGATATAGCAATTATTTCTTCTAATTTTTTAGTATAAGCAGTTACTAGGATGAGGAATGAATATGACTGTTCAATTTGACCAAATATGAAGATCTGGTCAACAGTAATTGAATCAAATATTAGTTAAAATACAAAATTAAACTGTATAAACAGTCCCTACTTGTACCCGTGAAATCTCTTTGAACAGAGGATGTTTTCTTGGAGGTGTGAATGACTAGAGAATTTATAACTGTTCATCCTTGCCAGTGTGCAGTAGGATGGAGCTTATTTGACTTTTCTTTTGACACTACTCGCTAGATGTTGACATCTGTAGAAGAGCTCTATCTCAGTAGAGTGGAATATTGATCTGTGAGATGCTATCTTTAAATTTCAAAGAAGCAGCAGGTTGGTTAACATGACTATATTTTGACTCTTAGAATGTCAATGACGTACAAGATAACGTCCCCTGCCCCTGCAGTTCACCTGCTAGGGATTGCATCAGCGTATTTATTTTATTTTCTGAAAATTCATTTACTGTAATTTGCCATGATATTCAATTTTGCGGGTTTGAAAAGGGCTGGTGTTGTTAGGTTTCTTTATGCAAATTTTATCACGAGGCGTAAACACGAAGCGGCCTAGACGGGTAGGTGCTATAGAATTAGAAGTAGAATCTGCTTGTGTCTTTTTTATTTTTTTAGTGTTCCTCATATTGGCATCCGAGTGCCCACATATAACAACTTTGTGAAGCTCTTAGGAGTGTCCGGAGGTCACGAGTACTCCATGTTTGCTAATGTTAATTTCATTTTTCTCGCTTCCCAGAGTGTTGTTGCTTCAATTGCTTGTGACCCAAATGTGTGGACTGCAGTACTGCAGAATCCAGCCCTTCAAGAATTCCTCGAGTCACAGAAAACCAGTGAGAAATGAATGTCCTTGATTTTCTTCAAAATGCTCATCATGGTCCAAGCTTCTTACTATATTCCCATTATTGCAGGTGCATCCTTTCCTGACTCGGATCAAAAGATGGATGAGTCCGTTGCTGATACTGATTCCTTTTCTCAGTCATCTCCAAGGAGTGCATTTTCCAAATCTGAGGCGGAAGAGTCTAAATCCAAGAATTCATTTACAGGTTTTCTGCAGAATGTTAAACGTACAGTGACACAAACAGTGATCGATATGATGAGCAGCTTATCAGATTACTTTAACAATCTCTTCGGAGGCAACAAGGTTTTTATTGAAGCTGATGGAAGTGCTAAATTAGGCGCCATGGAAAAGACGTTGGGAGCATCTTTCATCGGCTTGGCAATCATGGCTATTATGGTTGTCGTCCTGAAACGCCGTTAATTATCCATGTCCCTGAAGTTATTTCAATTTGCCGAAGTTACATCACTGTGCGTTACAGTTTCTTTTGGTAGAAGTATTGATGCTTTTGGTTGAATAGGGCTTACCGACGAGGCTTGTAAATTAAATAAAGCCGTTTTTGAAAGTGTTTAAAGTCTTAATTTCTTCACTCAGGGTCATTTTGAGCGGTAAGATGATTTTGGCATTCAGCAGTCACTGGCTGCATCTGCATGTGACATTAACTTGGATTTTGGGTGACATGTATTTTGCAGGGCCTTGAAAGATCAAAGTGCATTTTCTCTACATGGTATCCGGTTTTTTCTTTTTATCAACCTGTCCGTTTTCTTCCACGCACGGCGAAAATGGATGCTTTGCCGTCACTGTTTTCAACCTTGATAATATGGAGTTAGATGCAGAACTAACTTTTTTCGCTGTATGGTCGTTATTTTTCTTTCATTTTTTTGGCTTTTAGCTGAGTGGTTCTTTGCCTCTCATGGGTGGTGATTGGCTCTTTCTCCATAATGGCACTTGCAACGGAACCTCTAGATTATAGCAATAAATGTCCTGAATATACCAATTTCTCTTTGCTCCTGGATGCTGCACTCAAAAGTCTATTGCTTATGTCTTCTTTTTATTTTTTATTTTTGGTTATAAAAAGATTTTTAACGGGGATAGCTAGAGGTCATCTTTCACTCCAAACATCAGCGAGAAGACCTTTCTCATCCAAACAAGACTCTAAACTATGGGTTGGAGTATAAATGCAGCTTCTGCTAGGTAGTTTACAGCAACATTTGGCCTCTGGACGGGACCGCAAGCTGCAAAGTTCAAAAAGCACGAAGATAGCCTACTAACAGACACAAGATGAACGGACGATGCAGAGTCCTCTGTTCCGTTGATCATGTTCAAAAGTAGGTATATTCACCATAAGTTGGCTTCACGAAAGCCATAATTACTCTAGTTTTGGGGTTCTCGCTCTCGCGTGCGTAACTCCCTCCTTCATGGATTGAAGAATGACGCGAGCGTGGCGGATATGCCATTTTTCTGAGTCCATCTCCATCTATGTTCTGACACGATTGGCAGAGGAGGGGCAATTCCCTGAGTCTATTTTACTTGGAATCTGTCCTACACAGTAGTGGTTCTGTCTTATAAACTCGTCAAGCAAGATTTGCACATTGTTGGCTCTTAAACGCACGTACAAGTACGTGGGATCACGCAAGTAATAAAAGATCGGTTGGTAATCTGTTGCTTTTGGGATGTAAAGGATTTACTACATTTTATAGGAAAGGCACTGATCCAAAAGTTAGTTTTCCAAGAGAACAGTTTGCTGTCAGGAATTTATACAAGGATATTTAAAAAATAAAAAATAATAGAATGTCGTACGAGATTTGAACTTGGCAAATTTTGAACTCCTTTGCCAATTCATCAGAATTTTTCTTCATGTCAAGGGGATTCAACAACTTACATTTAATAAAAAGAAATTAATTTTTACCCTATTTGTGCAGTATAATTGCGATAGAAGGGGTCCAGTGAACTCCCTTCCTTCTACTTAAACTCCCTTCCTTCTACTTAATCCACCATTGATCGTAGGAATCTCAAATCTACTCGAGCAAATTATGCGACATAAATCTGCAGAGCCTGTTGTCATTCTCTATACCCTTAACTACAGAAAGGGATAGCTGGACCTGGAGAAAGAAAAGAGAACAGACATCAATTGCTTCATGTTCCTCTGAATTTTTTTTGTATTTTATTGAACAACTGCATTCAACTGAGTCCTGTATTCTTTGTTTATTGGTACAAAATTTACAGGCTATGAAAGCTAATGTACATAGATCCAATTTTACGGTATCTTATGTCATAAAATGTACAAGAAATGATACTAATGTACATTGATCAAATTTTACAGTATTGTCTTTGCTTCTGTCATCAGCGTATTCAAACGAACTAAGCAAATTTCTTTATTCTATGTTCAGGTTTCTCTTTGACGTCAGCATGCTTTTGAACCACTTAGCAGAGAATTTTGGTATCCTTGTGAGATTATTCTTGAAGTCTACATAGTATAGTCCAAACCGTACAGTATAACCTGAGTTCCATTCCCAGTTATCAAGTAGTGACCAAACAAAGTAACCTTTGATATTGCAGTTGTCTTTCCTGCATTAGTTTGACATTTTGTTAAATTAGATGTATGAGCAGAATAACCAGGAAATAGATGATTATTCCAAAGCGTAGAACAGGGAAGCCAACTGACTAGTAAGCACCTTATGGCAGCAGAGAGATTTGAAAGATAGTCTCTGTGGTAAATTATTCTGCTGTCATCTTGTAAAGCATCATTTAATGCGATATGCGATTTGTTAGGTTCATCCACACCTGCAATCAATAAAATTATCACTCATGTTGTGACACCTTAGGCTAATCCCACATCGACAAAACACGGGAGAGATGCTGAATATATAAGTAAACAGGCCTTAGAACCTAGTGACGTGTTTTAAAGTCGTGGGGCCTAGGCCCAAACCGGAGAATATCACTAGTGGGCTGGGCTATTAGATATGGTATCAGAGCCACTCCGCGTGCAACCTCTAACTGTGGTGGGGCAAATCTCAGCGATGACCCTGAGTCCGTAAGGGGGTGTATGTAGGCGAATCCCACATGCTGGGTATATAAGTAAACATGCCTTAGACCCTAGTGACGCATTTTAAAGCCGTGCGGACCTAGGCCCAAAACGGACAATATCACTGTGGGCTGGGGTGTTACACATGTTCTATTTCTTACTTGTGCAGGATGACATTTCTTACCATTTTCAGTAATAATCACCAACGGGTTTCCATATTTATCTTTGATGTAATTCATTAATTTCCGAATGCCCCAGGGGACAACGCGTAGCCAACCAGATGCAGCCTGGAGGATGACATGCTCTTGAGGAAAAAATCACCACTTGAAGCAAATATGGAAGTCCCACAAGCAACTAGCTAAGCATACCTTTTCTCCAATTGCGACTCCACGCCTGAAAGCTGAAGAAACAAAGGGTCATCAGTTAATACTCTTGATTTATCATCCAAATGAAATAGTAGTAGTACTTTTGATATCTTACGGGTAGTTATCACAGCAGAGTCAGAGTAAGCATCATTCAATACAAGCTTCTTGATCCTTGCTCTATCATTCCGAGCATATAACGTGGTATAGTGATTGATGCCAAGAAAATCCAAAGACCCCTTCAGTAGTTTTGACACCTCTGGATTGATCTCAGGCAGTCTTTCTGCCACCAACTTCTGCATTGAAAGAGGATAATTCCCAAGTAGAAGTGGATCAAGGAACCTGAGTCACTTTATTTTCGTTATATCATTATGTTACACTCAATTATCTTCACACCCAAGTTAAGTACATGACTAAAATTACCAGCCAAGTCCAAAATCCATTGCTCTACTTGCTGCAGCTCTGTCCTCTTCGCAATCTGAAAGTGGCTCATACCATTTAGCATCTAATGCTATCCCCACTTTGCCTCCTTGACTTGCCTGGAATACTAGGTGAATAAGAACAGAATGTCCAAATACTATTCTCCTTCTCTTTTTTTAATTTAGTAGTCATCAACATATACCTTGAACTTTTTGTGGTAAGCATGATAAGCAACAGCATGAGACAACAGAATGTTATGTGCTGCAATATATGGCTCGATAGACGATTTTCCTTTACGGCAGAAAACGTGGAAAAGAATAGAGCACCTTCCTGGAGCTTGAACCCCCGAGTCATAACCTTGAATTGTAAAACCGTGAGGCTCGTTAAAGGTGATCCAATGCTTTACTCTATCCCCAAATGCTTTGAAACAAGTAATAGCATATCGTTCAAATTCATGTCTGTAACGAAATAGAGTTTATCAGATGAAAATATGTACTTCACTTCTGAAAGATTGTATGATTGTTAGTATACATACATTATACGATTGCTCAAAAATCCCTCGTACGAATCTTCAAGCATTTGTGGTAGATCCCAGTGAAACAGTGTTGCATACGGTTGAATTCCTGATATTACAATAAAATGAATTTCTTCATCTGTATAAAGTTTGGTTTGTAGATAGTAAGTTACTTAATGAAACCTTTTTCTAGTAAGGCATCTATGAGATTGTTGTAGTATTGGATTCCTTCTGGATTTGGTTCCCCTGTTCCATCTGTGACATATAATGCTACATGTTAGCTACGGAGTAAAATAAGAAGAAAAATAGTCTCAATAAAAGAGAAAATCTTACTTGGAAATATTCGTGTCCAAGATATTGAAAATCTATAGGCATCCATTCCTATTCTCTTCATCAACTCTATGTCACTCTGTAATGTCAAAGTCACCTCGTATTAGTTAGTTAAATAACGACAAAGCTGAGACTTATTTGACAAGAGGGCTCTTTTTTTGTATAGTTTTTTCCTAGAGAATACCCTGATGTGGAAGCAACTGTTACTCTTATCTTTTAAAGATGATAAGTCCCATGTGTGTTCTCTTATTTTAATCAATCGGTGCTTAATTATGAAATGATTAGGTAACCCTACTTGTCCATACACCGCACCTTTAATTTTTTCCAAATATCGTGGTTTTTCTGTGCAAAGATAATCCTTAGCCGAAAGCATGCTTACATGTGGTTTTAATAAAGTTTAGTACTATATGAAATTCAAAATGAATTGAAGTACCCCGAAAATGAATAACTTTAATTTACATATAAAAAAAAAAACTGTACTTGGCAATCAATGTAGCTTAATTAAGGTCCATGATTTTACCTGGAAGCGATGATATTGATCCACTGCTGTGTCCGCATTGCTAAAGTCCAGTATTCTTCCTATGGAATCAGAAACAAAATATATATTATTAACTTTTTTCTAAAAAAGACGATATATTTCATTGAAGGATTAAAACTGGAAAATGACCTGGTCTCTTGATGAAGGTATCCCAGATACTAATTCCTTTGTTTCCTTCATCCACTGCACCTTCAAACTGCAAGAGCAAAAGAAACAGTACGTTCAAATTAAGGGGCAAAAGAAGAGAAGGGCGAAAAAAGTAATTAAAGTGATATATATATACCTGATAAGCTGAAGAAGCAGTTCCAAAAATGAAGCCCTCTGGAAAATCAGAACGGCTGATGGAATCCGAGTTCACATAGAGACATGACAAGCAGATGGTGAAGAGATAAAAGATGATTGTCATAGGCGATTGTCAAAGTTTGGTTAATAGAAAAACAAAGTGCAAAATGCTTAGACTATATATATATATATAGAGAGAACCTTTGTATCTTCAAGGAAGAGCAAAACATTTGTAGTAGTTCAGTAGTTTTGGTACAGTATATTAGCTTGGTTGGATAGATATTGAGACACTCGCCCTTCTCTTGCGCCAGAAATATAGGGAAATATATAATTGGTGGGACGATATATAAATATATGTGGCATAAGAAAAATATTTACTCGCGCTTAGTATTTGATTTTATATTAAATTGCGATGATATTTTACGGTATTTATTTGGTAGAAAGAAGAAAGAAAAAAATTGGGTGACTCAAGATAAAGTATTGCCTTGTTATGCCATCTTTGCACTTTTGCTAACACGTCGTGATCAGGGAGTGACAAGTCTGTAGAACCCGCCGATTGGATTCCTACGACTTAACCTTCACGACTATTATTCCTCTTATTAGTTTCAACTCTCAATATCTAAGTGGCCTAAGGTTTCAACTTCTTTGGTGACGATAGTAACTCATAAGAAAGTGTACGGAAAATTAAAAGAAAATATCTAATTTTTATTATCATAATCATAAAATAAAAGAATTTTATATGAAGAGTTTAGTGGCGTCTGATCCAACCAATTTTATACTTTGACTTTTCATTTAGCTATTTTAAAGACAATTTCTTTGGTTGAGTTGAGCCCATGAATAAAGAGAGGATAAAACTTTTGATGAGCGTGAAATTGCACGGAAGTATGTAGGATGAAATTGCAAGTATTTATTTTAGTAATTTTCATGTAGGGGTGAAGTTGCAACCATTATACGTCAACTCTAATAATCTTTCCTTGTATGTTGTCAACACAGCCGTTTCTACTTTTTTGGTGTGTGTGCAAATTTGTGTAAAGACACGTAAAATTTCAAAAGAGAAGCTCAAAACATTATTAGCCACATGTCTTGAGAAATAGCTCTAGTGCCCTGATGACACAACTAATTATTAGTATCAATCTTCTTAATAATATAATTGAGGAAATCCCAAACAAAAGCATACAATCATTCATAAANAATGACTCTTTTATTTCTAGATTACCCTTTCAAGTAAATAAGAACCTAGAGATTTCTTCTAATTCCAACACGTCCAAACACAACTTTTTTGATATGCTCGGCAATCTTCATATCAATAATTATCTAAGAAAAGGTAATATTCTATATATAGAAAGAAATCTCGATAGAAAATATTTTGATTGGAAAATTATCCATTTTTCTCTTAGACAAAAAGAAGATATTGAGGCTTGGGTTAAGATCGATACCAACAGTAATCCAAATACTAAACTTTTTAATATTATAATTTTTCCCTTTTTAATTTATATTATGGACTTACCTATAGAATAAATAAATATTATTTATAAATTAAAAAAATAAAAAGTATTTAAGCATATATAATGCTGGAATAACAAAATAATGAGCATAGTAAAAAAAATAATTAGAATAATTTGTTAGTAATAATAATTTTAGTACTAACAACAAAAATTTAAAAATTTATTTACACAATCAGAACGAAAGAAAATAAAAGTTGTAAAATATATATTCCATTCACGTTATATAAAAAAAATTATTTAAATAAAGATATTTTTATAATATACATTATATATTCTTGAAAATATATTAGTATCTGGATTACCGGTCTTTTTGTGAACGTCTTTTCTTTTAAAATTAAAGTTGTTCCTTATTTACCAAGATAAAGGGGAAATGCTTGTTTTCCTAAGCATATCTAGGTTCTATATACATTTATTAGTTGCAACTTGTAAGAATTTGACCATTTACAGATAGAAAAGGAATTTGAGAGTTGAGACACGCCATCGATGGATTGACAATCCGGTTTTCATTAATTTTTATTTGAGCTATGTCCTTTTTGGGAAATCCATTTCAAGTCTTGGAAATTAGAATCTTTCCAGAGAAACTATACAGTAATCTCGATAAAAACAACATTATAAAACTTTAATAATCGCTACAATATTTTACTGGTAGGCAATATAATGTTGGAGAGAATGTATTAATAGATCAAAGAGTAGAACATATAAAATATCAGCATGTTTAAATTAAACTGTTGGACTTTAAGCCATTGGGCTTTAAAGTAGAAGAAGTGTGAATTGGAAATGGAGGGAAATAAAATGGAGGGAAATTGAAAATTTAAAGAAGTGAACTTTTGTCTTGCACTTTGTCCCTCATTGGTGAGGAACAACCACATTTGTGTGCTTATATATAGAATCACTTCTTAAAGCTCTTAAAAGGAGTTGAAGAGAATGAACCCTCGCCGCCGTCGTCGCTCGCTCGGCTCGGCTTCGGCTTTGGATTTGGATTTGTCAAACGATCGATAAGATTATTTTTGGACAAAATTTATTTAATAATTAATTAAATGCCAAATCACTGCTGAAAATACGCCAGAACCCTGCGCGGCAGAACCGCGACAGGCTGATTCAGAGAGCCTCTCTGACCGCGGTTCTGCCGCGACCGCGGCAGGCAGCGTATTCTTCTGAAAAGGCACCTTTTCCAGACACCTATTCTGATAATTGCCTATAAATTCTGAGGCAAGGCTCCATTTTCTATACACGAAAAATACTCCAGAACTTTTTTCTTTCTGAATATACTGCATCCTAATTCGCAGTCTCTCTCTCTCAAATTCGTTAGTGTGATTTTGCTCCGTTCTTTGAGTTCGTTGGTATCCTGCATTTTGTATTGCCACTGTTTCAGGAAGGTTTATTCCGTTTTATCCTGGGAGGATTTAATCCATTACCTTGGCAACGTGTGAGGGGGTTAAAATTCCTTAAGGACACACAAGAAAATTGTGGACTCGGAATATTTTTTAAACTCTTCTGTTTTTCCAGTTTCTTTTATTTTTCTAACAGTTTTTCCTGATTTTTGATTTAACACAGTAACGCTCACACAAACCACCGAAAGGGAAGTTTACAAATTTCAATATATCTATATGAATGTCGTTTTCCTCGTACAGTTCCTAACTCATATCTTTACGTGTAATTCCTCTACACTTTTTAGTAACGAATCCCTTAAGCAAGAGGATTTATTATCCTTTAAGATACAACATATCCAACTCTAGCGCCTTAACCATTCAACACGGAATATTAATGTACAAAAATACAAAATAATCAATAATCTTTAACGTGACAAGTGGTAACATTGAGAATGTACGTTGAGATTTGAATACGAATACACTCTGTTTTGAACAATGTTGGGAAACCAAACTAAAATAAAAGTACTCTATTTGATATTGAGAATATTATTCATTCAACATGGAATAACTAAAATTTGGTTACAGCAACAAGAAATTCATTGTCAACGTGTGGAATTTGATTTAGACATATTATTGTTGCTGCTTTTTTTTCGATCATACATACTATAAATTAAAAATGTATTGATGCACTTATTAGTAGGTTGCTAGGTTCGCAAAATTCTGTTACTATATTAGTATTGCTCGTTAAGCGACTGAGGATCTTAGTTTTCAAGAAATTTTGGACTGTTATGAAATTATCCAATTTTTATTCAATATCGAACTATTTCATTCTTCAATATTCGACTTCGGATAGAATTTTTTTTTTTTTAATACCTATAGCTTAGCTCTTCACTTTTTTTTTAGTCCATTAGTACTCCTATGTTTTAGTAGCACGTTCAAAAGTTGTAAATTTGACATCCCAAAAATATTTGTCTTCTAGTAAATCGATTCAATAATAAAATCTCCTTTCGTACACTCAATTAACTATGAACGTTTCCATGCAGGCAAAAAGAGGATATCATGTTTCACACGACACAATTACTATGTTTTTTCATGGGTCAAACTTTCATAATGGTCATATGAACACAAGAACTAGCTGGATGAGCGAACCACGTTTGATTTAAGAAATTGAATATTTCACAATTAGGTATAGAGGAGTGAGGTCATGAAACGAGGTAATTTAAGATCGTGCGATATAAAAAGTGTAAATCCTACTCGGCATTTCCTTTCTCCTTCATGTTCTTAACCTTTTTCAGCTTGAAATCTTTGTCAATTACACTGCTAGAAATCCGGTAAATACCGACCAAAATTTTCCGACCAACGTTGGTCGGTCAAAAAAAGCGACCAAAGTTGGACGGAAACTGGGAGAAAAATATTTTACATTTATTTTAAAATAATACCGACCAACGTTGGTCGGTAAGTTGGTCAACAAATTGACCGAGCTGGTCAGACTTGCTTAGTCAAAGAAACTTTTACATTACCGACCAACTTTGATCGGTAATATAGACCCAATTTTTAAAATTTTAATAGTTATATTATTATTTAAAATGTTTTATAAAATTTAAAGAAATTTTATTTAAAATTACCGACCAAAGTTGGTCGGTTAATTCAGGGGAAGCATTTACTACTTTTCAGTTTTCTAGGGCTCCGACTTTCAGTGGTGCAAAGGGCGAGGATGCCCATGGTTTCTTGGACAAGTGTCAGAGGATTCTTCGTACAGCGGGTATTCTGGAGACCAGTGGGGTCGCATTTACTACTTTTAAGTTTTCTAGGGCTGCCTTCACTTGGTGGGAGACTTATGAGAGGCGTAGGCCTGTCGGTGCAGTGCCCCTTACTTGGCAGCAGTTCTCCGCTCTCTTTTTGGATAAGTATGTGCCACAGTCTCGCAGGGAGGAGCTGCGTAGGCAGTTCGAGCAGTTACGTCAGGGTGATATGACTATGACACAGTATGAGATGAGGTTCTCGGAGTTAGCTTGTCGTGCTGTTTGGTTGGTTCCTACAGATAGAGAGAGGATCAGGAGGTTCGTTGATAGCCTCACATATCAGCTTCGGATTCTCATGACTAGAGAGAGGGTGTCAGGTGCTACTTTTGAGGAGGTTGTTGATATTGCCCGCGAGATTGAGTTAGTTCGTCGTCAGGAGCGAGATGAGAGGGAGGCCAAGAGGCCTCGGGGATCTGATAGTTTTGGCGGGGTTCCTTCGAGAGGTCAGTTTCAGCACGGTAGAGGCCGTCCATTCAGACATGCTCAGTTGGCTCGCCCAGTTCATTGTAGGGCATCATCGGGCCATGATCCTCACAGTTCTCATCAGGGTCATTCGTCACTTAGCGCCCTACCAGCCCAGAGTTCGTCCCGTGCTCCAACAGTTCAGGGCTCTTTTATGCCAGGT